GCGAGTGTGCCAGTCGAAATGAAATGCTGCACGCAATCTGCTTCTGCTGTTACTGTCCTGGATCTCTGTGGATCAGCGCTCATGGCGGAGACGACAGTCAGCGAGTTGGGCCCTTTGGAACTCTTGTGTAAAACGCCGGGAAGGACAGTGAAGAATTGGAGGAATAACCTGCGCGTGGAAGCTTGTGAACACGAGTTTGCAGCCCCGCAAGCGAATTCGTGAACAGCCCGAATACTTCTTTGAGCGGACTAAGTTTCGCACATACAACCTATGAAGTGGTATGCCGAATGCTTTTGCAGAATGATGTTTGTGGTTGGCGCGGTTGCAGCGCAAACACACTTCAACTCGCAAAACTCGACTATATCGCCGGCAGTTGCAGCAGCACAGAGTTTTACCTGGCCACTCCATTCCGGTTTCCAATTGTGACAGGTACAACAGTGACGAAGCCAAACCGAGCCCCACACATGGAGAGAGCTCAGCCCTAAGCCCGACTTCACTAGTGGATGATTTGCCCAAGGCATCACGCCGCCCAGGAGGTCGCCGAGTGCTCCAAAGGTAGAACTGGTAAGATATACTGAGTTACTGCAGCACCATGTCGTGTTGTTTTTGCTGAAGCTGAGACGTTCCTGGCGAAAGTAGCCGGTGTTGTCGAGCAGAAGTGTACACATAAAATCTGAGCGGCGTTTCTGCAGGCCGTCACTGTAGCCAGAGCCTCAGACAGCTATCCATGTCATGGAAGTCTCTTGTGCCAAGCCGGGTGCTTTTGTCCACGGCCGTGGGCCTCCATAGACTTTGCCGATTCAAAGAATACGAGCGCCTGGAAAGGCAGAGGATGACAAGAAGCAGCGAAAAGACTGCACTGCAAGAGCTGCATTTGAGCTAGCAGAATCTTGAAAGCACGCCCTTCCCAAGCCTTATGGCCACCTTCAGCCCTGTATGCTCCACAGTGCAAAAGCCCAGCTGAAGGATCCCAAGCGCGGTGAACCTGAGAGCTCGTGAGCAGTTCTGAGGTTTGTGACGTGAAGGTGCAGCCTCCTCTCTGTAGAGTTCCTCTGTGGCCCTGGCTCCTTGATGGACTCTGTAGAAGGGCACACATCCAGGTAGGTATTCACATGTTCATAGCCATAAAGTGCCATAGAAATGGCCTGGATAAAACGATCGACAAGAGTTCAAGATTTCCAGCCAGATCAGCATGGAAAGTCACGATTCCTTGTGTTCAAAATCAACTACCAGAAGTTCGTGTCATGCCTGCAGGTTGCCACGATAGCTGTTCCTGCATGCTGTCTATGGCAGTTGTTTCTCAACAGCACGAAGCCAGTGCCAGGTCGGCTTCCAGCGAGCGCGCCGCATGGGAGTTTGTCAAGAAACAGACTTTGGCCCGAGTGGCACCACCCTGAGTTCTTATGCAACACGAAGGTGTACATGCTGCGCATTTTCAGTGGTATAACAAGCTGCCCGGAGTCTTGAAACAGCACTCCTTTCAGTGTTTCACCACCACGGGCGGCACACACCCCGGCACGCTGGGCCTGGTGCAGCATTGCCATGCACCATGTCTCCCAACCATTGGACTCTGAGAAGCAGACTCAGATGCAGCCCCCAGGCACAGCATGTTGGGAGCATCTCGGAGGACCCGCTAGTTCATGTCTTGAATGGGAAAGTGGCTGGGGTGGCTGGTTAGAATATGTTGAGGGCCGGTTGTGACGATTACGACTACGAGTACTACTTCTGGCCACTGACATGGCTTTACCACAGGCATGGCTGTTACAATGGGCATTACTGTTGCCGTTTGCAAGTTTCTCTCGTGCTTCAGATGAGCTTATGGTCTATCTTAGGGCTCTTTTGCAACGACCGTAAGGCCCAAAGCCTACGATGACAGTCAGCGCCAGTAAATGTAAAGCTGTTGCATGTGTGACAGTAAAGTCGTGATTGGCATTAGCATCATCATCCTTGTGTGGCCTTCTTAGGGTTCTTTTCCTCAGCTCGTGCTTGCCTCCAGTCCTGCAGCCGTGTCCGGTGCAGGATGACCGGCTGCTGGCCGAAGACGACCGCAACTTGGCCGTGGAGCGGGAAGACTGCTCCATAGAACTACTATCATGAAAGGGAAGTTGCAGTTCCACCGTCGCAGCAACGGCGACAGGAATGATGTATATAATTTTCCCAGAATCAATGTGCCACCCTAAAGTCAGTAACTATTGACCACAGCGGATTTTGCTACCTCTGGTTTTGTCGTTGACAGGCCAGAACAGCTTCAGCATCAACCAGCGTCGGATGCCCGGGAGGTGTAGTAGGGCTCGGATGAATGCCTCATGTTGCGTGGCACGTGACACCGAGGCCATGCCGTCATCGTTCGGCGAGAGGAGCCGCACGCCGCCTTTTTACTCCTGGCGTGTGCTTGACCTGCTTGCCTCAGAGATGAGCGGTGGGCCTTGGACTTTGCAAAGCGCCAAGTGTCAGCACGATTCACAAGCCCAGCAGGAAGAGCCCCGGCGCAGGAGAGAATGGTGTTGCGGAGCTGGTGCAACGTCGTTGTTCGAATAGCCGCCTTCTTGAACACGCCAGGAGCTCAGCGATGGGTTTCAGTCATGCCAACATGTTGGTCAAGTTGAACGCATTCGTTTCAAGCATTTTATCTTTAATGGCTTACATGGCTTCTGGCTGGGAATACTGGCCGACCCAACGCAGGGATGTAGTGCCGCAGGCCGCAGGCCGAGGAGTCGATGGCAACGATCAAGCTCCCCGATGACCAGGTGCCCTTCGCGGAGTGCTGGTGTGTTCTATCGCTGAGTACGAGGGCTCTCTATCGCTTGCTTCCTCTAACATCCTGAGCTCCTTGATTCAACGAGAAGCTTTTCGGCTGCATTCTTTCGCACGTCAGCTCTGCGTCCATGTACGTCTAAACTAATCGGAGACGTGTTGGTGCTGCGGTGTAGTTCTCGGCCAGGTCCTCGAAAACGACGAACCACGTCAGCGACCGCGGTATTGGGCACCTGCCTCAGCATCCCTTCGCAAGACATTGCATGATGGCCGAGCTCGAGACATGGCACCAACATGACAACTTGCCAAAGCTGGACTGTTCTTGTCTCTGAGGATGCCCGTAGTGTGGAGACAAAGCACTGCCGTGCCATGCCGTACTTCGAAGAAACCGAAACAACTTGATTAGTGAATAGATTTCACTATGTTTCACTTGCGGCGGTGATTGAGATGGTGCCCCACTAGCTGCCGTTGTCATACAAGCAGACTTCTTGGCACATCGCGAATCGTGGTGGCATGCTGCTCTACTTGAATTTGCCTGGAACTGCTCTACTGTGCAGGAGCGACTGTTAGCAGACCGCGACCCGGGACACGTCGAGGCCGGAGTTTCCAGGGAAAGCGTGCCAGTCGGTTTGTCAGAACCACTCTGCCGGACACCTCGGCGGTTCCCGTGGGTCTCTTGAAGTGACTTGCCCCGACTGGCATGCCCCCAAGCCTTCGAGGAAGTGCTTCGCATGCGTTGCGGCTTTCTGGCGAGCTTGTTTCTTGCAGGCGGAGTGCGCCTCGCTAAGCTGAGAGGTTGGATAAGGAAAGCTAGTCGAGAAAAATGCAGACATAAGGCGTCTTATAATGATTATAAGGTTTATTCATCGACTGTCTTTATGCTATGTCATACTCAAAATTCAAAATAGGCTCCTTAGGGTTGCGGAAAAGTGGCTCCTGCCTCTGGACCTGGGAAAAGCAAGAGCTTCGTTCAGTTCAGAAAGTGAAACACTCCCAGGTCCAGGCTGCATGTGTTCCCACTTGCATTAGAAGTGGCGCTGCATGTGGTCGGCTGGATGCAACATGCCAAGTTTTCGCACGAAGCCTCCGACACGCCTGGTGGCATGATTCCAGTATACATGCACTAAGCCGGGTACCACATCAGTCTACGCATGAACATCATGTCTTCGTGGTTTCAGAAAATGAAGACATGAGGAGCCCCAAATGCTCATGAACCCGTTGTGATGGTGGGGTTCCTTTACAAGCGAGTGTACTTGCTGCCAAGATGTCGCATGACTTTCGTGTCTCAACCACATTTGCTGCAGCACGCTGGGTCCCAGGGCGATCTGTCTAGACATTTGTTGTGGTTGAGCAGTGGGCTGAAAGCCAGATGGACAAGTCCTGGTCATGTCTGGGATACCTTTGTTTGAAGCTCGTGCTTGGATCATACTTATGCTGACAATGGGTCCGCAAAAGGTCACACTTGGTTTGGAGGTTTGAAGTTTCCAGCGCTGATAGTTGCATGATGACCTGACCAGACTTCTCGCACTGGTCGAATCAAGCAATTGGTCGTTCTCCAGCTTACCTAAGCCTGCTACAACTTACTGTTATACCAGCGGCTGCCTGGAACCACTGCAGCACTCCTATCATCGACAAGAGATGCTTCGCGAGCAACGGAAGAAATTCCGGCGCCGCTTTGAAATAGGCGCCGCCCCGGCATTTGGGTTGCCGATGCTCGTAGCAAATTTGAGCCACTGAGTGCCAACCATGCCAACCCAAAGGAACCAACGGCAGGGTTTGACAGGAGAACTAAGTGGGCTTTGACACTTTCGGCAACCCAACCATGTGGCTCAGCCCCTTCCGATTGCCGGTTTTGTTTCCAACAGGGTTCGGAAGATTGCGAAGATAGCCACAGGTGCAGAGTTATGGGGTTCCGCTCGGTCTTGTAATGTCAAACGCGGCAATGTCATCGAAGCTGGCTAGCACCATTGATCCACTCTAGACTCTAGATGCCCACCAGAACAAAGCAGGTGAGTCTGGAAAGAAAGACTGCAGGAACCCCATATTGGTGATTAGTGGGCTTACGCCACACAGTATGCCTTTGCTTGAGCGGGCAAAAGTCGGAGCCATGTTGATAAACAAGCTTGCCGGATGTGGGCACGTGTCGGGATCCACCCGTAAGCCTGGCTCGGAAGGCGGAAAGTAGGACGATCTTTTTGAGAAGGCCCTCCCCTGGCGGCGGGGGCCACAGCAAGAGCCTGAGCACCATGAGCGGTGGTCCACACATGACCATGGAGCAGGTGCGCTTGCGGTTTGGGGGCACACTGGAATATCGTCGAATATCGGCGTCGGGCGAAGTTCGAGCAAGAATACTCGACGACCTCTGCGAACACCCAGTCCATGCTTCATGATCTTGCAGCTTCAGGCAGTGTGTCTGCACACACAGAACGGTCTAGTTTGGGCCTGGAGGGCCGACCACACAGGTGGGACCCTGTGCAGACCCCAAAAGTCGGATCCTTCTGATTAGTAATTACTGTACATCTGGGACCCCACATTCAAAGAAACCTCGTATTTCGAATTGGAGGTGGCGCGGACTTTTCAGCCGTGCAAACTCTACGATGGCATCAGTGAGCGCCACGTGACTGTGGAGGTGGATGGGGCCTCTCGGCTTCTCTTCAGACAACATCACGTCACTACTCAGGTCTCTGAACCAAGCCCTGGTTTTCGATGGAGTTCCAGTTGCATGTGAGTTGAAGGGCTTGGCAGTTTTCTCTGAAGTCAGGGGTCCATGGACTCTGCCGACCCCTGACACAGATGCGCACCGCTGTCCACTAAAAGGTGCTGCTTAGATGGAACTGTTCCACCTCTCTCCCGCTTCATCGAGTCAAGGAGATGGAAGAGGTGGAGATTGACCCCAAAGAGGCGACAGACGGTATGCATAGCCTGTTGCCTCCAGCAGCGCTGAGATAAAATTCTACGATACCTACGCTTCTCCGGTCCGGTTCAGCAGGGCCCTTTCCGAGTCCTGCCGCAAAAGCTGCGAATTAAAGAACTCTAGAATAGTTTCCTGCCCAGCAGGCAGAACACTCAATCATTTGACTGCCAGGGGATATATATATATATATACATATATATATATATATATATATATATTATATTGCTTAGCACGAGCCGAGCGGCTCGACGACCTCGGAAGCCACGACCCACTCCCATCACATTTCTTCATACGTAACCATGCAGCACCTTCGGGGCTGCCATGCGGAAGCCAAGCAAGAAAATGTGCGTTCAAACCTCAATCCATTTGCCTTGCTGTCATTTAGTACCCCCAGACTTCATCTGCTGTTGTGAAAGGGGCCGAAGATATGGAAGCCGGATGGCACACCCCCGGGCCCCAACGACTTCCACAAGCTGCCAAAGTTGTGCACTTCAGCCGCACTCAATGTCAGACTTCAATTCCAACCACCTCAGATTTCTAAGAGGTTCAGTCCGCGTTTCGCCCTGGCATACTGGATCGCCAGTGGCCACATGGATCTAGCAGTGGAGTGAGGCGTGGTGCATATACAGGATCTGAGCTGGCAATTCATCTGCATGAAGTTTTTGCAGGCACACTAGATTCACATTTACAGAGTTTTCAGTCACAGCTCAAGATTGTTGCACGTTGGCCGCACCCTGCCAGGCAACGTCGTTAATCGGCTAAGTGACTCAGTGCATTCGGAGAGAACCGGCCAAGGCCGATCACACCTCGACATGTCTGCGGCGAACGGCCTCAACAAGGACCGAGGGTTCCGACTGCAAGGGCTTGTAATTGGCGAAGCTAGCGAGCCTGGATGCTCAAGGCATCAAAGAGCCTGACCGAAGCTAAGGAAGCTTCAGTGACGAGAAGGCATCATCAGTTCATTCGAGATGTTGACAGCGGCATGCCTCGAAGTGTAGTGATTTCAGTTCGCACCTGTTGATGCTGGGCCCTAAGTGCAGAAAGAGTCTGAGAGTCTGAGTACATTGTTGAAAACGACTTTCTACTGCTAGCAGCTAGCAGAGCTTGGAACTACATGTGGCCATGTGGCTGGTAACCCTACATCCTATCTACTTCACAGATTGCAAGACAACATAATTGGAGCCAGGAATCTCAAGATTGGAACTGGAAAGCCATGCTTCAGACCCTAAGCGACCACCTGTTCCTCTGTTGCCCTTGTCTCGCAACAACTCGGTACGAACCGGCTGTTAAACCACCAGAGACCCGAACTTCTCAAACCTGAGTGCTATGCCAGGATTGGGTGTACTATACCTCTACTGAGCGCAAAATGTGCGTGCTACAGGCCGCGAAAATTAACAAGCAGCGGAAAGCGCTTCGCGATGCTCGGAGCGCGGAATGAGCAAAGGAGATGATACTGCTAGTTCACTAGACCATTCAACGACAGGAGTCGATGAGGATAGATCTTAAAGCATTCCTCGGGAGAGAAACAGGGTGACCAGACTCGGCTTCAAGCGGAATGGGCTGTGGCGACTGTGTGTGTGTGTGTGTGTTTGTGTGTAGGTCTTCACGTGGTCGGTTGTGCGAAAAAGCACACATTTCTCACCCGGACCGTGGTATCATGCATTCAGCGCAGCAAAGAAGCAGGGAATGGCAGGGACACTTCAAAAAGCAAGAGATGAGGGAGAGACTGATCAGGTTCTTGACTTCAAATTGCTTTGACTTCGTCACTTCTCAAACATCGTTGCCGTCCCAATCCGTCACATGGCAAACTGAAGGCAGTGGTGGTGTTATTGTGGCTTGATTCCTCGAGCATTCTGGGGTCCGGACCTTCGGTCAGGACGAGCACTGCAGTGTCCACCTAGACCACAGCATTGTGTACGCTGGCATGTTCAGGTAGTTCCAGCTACACCTTGACGATTCGTCGCTCACATGGAGCCTTTCCCAAAGCGGCGGCGATCATGCAGCGTGGAGCCCGGCGAAAAAGGCCTGTCAAGCTCAGTCAACTTTTGAACTGAACGGCATGTTTAGATCCAACAAAGTCCTACGATACATGGCGTGACTACACAGCTGTTCGTTCAGCTGATGCTTCAGAGCATTGTTCAAGTTTGCAGGTGTTCTGCAGGGCGAACCTGCTGACCTCACAAGCGAAGTTCGCAGGCAAGATGACCACGCACACCGCTCCTGCTAAAGACATGAGCGAAATGCAGGGTCGATGTTTGTTCGCGGTGTTGTGGGCCCGGGAGCTAGGAGACAAATCGGATAAGCATGAGCATTCGGCCTTTGGGCTGGCAAGGTCCTTAAATTGTGGAGTGTTTGAACTGGGAACACTTCATTTCATGAGGTTCTATGGCTCTCCAATACATATGGACAAAAATCTCACGGCCTCCTTGTCCCATTCGAAAAGATTGCTGTGCTGATCACATCCCAGCACACATGTTTTAAGCATTAGGCATGCCAAACCGCTGCAAGCAAAGGGAGATTGAAGGCCTGGCTCTCGCCCTGTCGAAGTTGCGGGTCAGTTTCACTTTGGTGAGTATGTGACAGTATGTGCATAACTCGAGGCTGCTGGCAGAAGGACTGCTTCACCAAGCGGCGGCGTGCTGCGAGCGTGAAGCTGCGCTGTTCCCAAAGTGGTCCTGGCCCCAATCAGACTGGCCGCAGCTTGCCACTACATCCTTCCTCCATGTCTGTACAGAGTCTGTACTGCCTCAAAAATATGCGATTCGTGGAGTTGTCGAGTCTGCGCAGGACAGAACTAGAGTAACTAGAGCAAATCACAAAAGCAATTTGGGACCACTCAACACTTAAGGTCCGCAGCGCTTTGAGTTGAATCTGTTTTGAATCCATGATTGATGTAGTCACCGTGCCGTGTTAGGTCGCAGCCTTGGTTCTTGCGCGGATTCGTCCACGATGTGGCACACGAGCACGAGCAGGCTGGACATGAGACACTCTTTATGTTCCCCTGTAAGCAGCAGGAGTGGTAGTACGTAGTAGTAGTAGCAGTAGAAGCAGTAGTAGCAGTAGCAGTAGCAGTAGCAGTAGCAGTAGCAGTAGCAGTAGCAGTAGCAGTAGCAGTAGCAGTAGCAGTAGCAGTAGCAGTAGCAGTAGCAGTAGCATCAGCAGCAGTAGCAGAAGCAGTAGCAGAAGCAGTAGCAGCAGTAGTAGCAGCAGTAGCAGAAGCAGTAGCAGTAGCAGCAGTAGTAGTAGTAGTAGTAGTTGTTGTTGTAGTAGCAGGCAGCATAGTAGCAGTAGTGGTGGCAGTAGTACTAGAAGTAGAAGTAGTAGTAGTAGTAGTAGTAGTAGCAGCAGCAGCAGCAGCAGCAGCAGTAGTAGTAGGAGTAGGCGGCCCCACCCCTTTCCAACGACACTGGCTTTAGACCATCTAGGAGCACATCCATTTTACTCGTTAATCGCGGTACCTTCGTAATGTCCTACCCCCTCTGTTGTCTCAAAATCCCCTTGCCGAGTTAGCAAACTGAAGCTTCGGACTTTGGAAGGGTTCGGGGGGGTGGGGGCGGTGAGGGGGCGGCAGCTGGGGCGTAGGCTGTGGGGGTAATGACGACCCGCTTGCACGCACTTGCATTTTATTCGGTATTGACAGTGCTTTCGTAATGTCCTACCACTGCTCGTTGCCTCAATTATCCATTTGTCGACTTTGCAAGCTTTAGTGCTTGTGATGATG